AAAAAACGTGACCCTTAACCGGACCGGATTGACCGCGGTCCGGTTCTAAAAACCGGCACTATTCATGTCGGTACCGGTACCGGGCCGGGCCGGACCGGTACCGGTCACGGGTCGGGCCACGGGCCGGGTCGGCCCGTGGCCATGTCTAGTTTTTTCTAGACTACGACGAATCCCGTGCGATATACATGTAAAAAATATTCATTGATTTTTATAAATTACAAATACACATAAAATAATATTTATATATTAGAAATATGATATTAATATGTAATACGATTTACCTATATTAATTTGTTGAAAATTTTATACGAATAAATACATTTTAAATAAGAAAAGACCTAAAAAATAGTTATTAAAAAACAATTAAATAGAAAACTATCATTAATACAATTATTTTAGAATAATTTTATAAGAAATTATAATTGAATAAATCAATCGAATTTACATAATCTGCATAATTATGGTTCATAAAAATGTAAACTTTTATTGCCTAATTATTTCCTTAATTATCCACGATTTTAGTAATTAAATACACAAATATGAATAATATTTATTACAAATATTTTAATCAAAATGGTCCTTAACACAATTCTTTTAGAATAGTATTTTGCAAACTGCATAATTAATTATTGTTGTTAATATTTTCATAATTGTAGTAATTATTTACATATTGAATAAATCATCTTGATTAACACAATTTGCATAATTAAGGTATATTAAAAATGTATTTCACAAAAGAATTACACAAAAATATAAAACACTTGTTAAATAACAAATTATACAATTAGTTGGATTTTTTTTATCAAATCACATAATTGATATTGCAGTCGAAATTTTCATATTTGGGTAAATCAACCAATTCACATGATTTAAGTAATTAAAGTATCTTAAAAATAAATTTACCAAAAAGTAATTAGTTAAAATATACTATAAATTGTTAAATTAATTTGAGTAATTAAGGTATCTTAAAAACGAACTTTTTTATATGGATTAATTATTTCCTTAACTAATGAGCCACAATTTCCATAAGTTGTGGGCCTAGGGGCACCAATTTATTGCTCTTTATTCGGGTTAATTTTGGCCCGTTTGAGTTAGACTGTTGGACTCGCCTCATGTAGGTTGTTAGACCCTTGAAATTTCATTTCAAATGAAATTCACTTACCTCTCCAAAATTTCAATCCCAAATGGTCTGCATTGAAGAATCTAATTCAAGCACCCGTATTCGATTATGTGTATATACATAGATGCAGATAAAATTCTATAAATTATATGTGTGCGTATATGCTATTTGAAATTATAAATTAGATCATGACCATATCAGATTTTACAAATATTTATCTTTACTAAATATGAACAATATAAATAATATAAACTATTAAATCCATATATGAATTAGTATATTGATTATAGTAATATATAGTATTTACATGCATGAGTGATTATGAGTAATTAATTAAATAAAAAAATATTAAAATTATTATTATAGAAATTGTGCGCGAACTTTGAAAGTGTTTGGTTATGCCATAAAAAATAATTTACCAATTGTAACAAAAACAAAGTTCATTAATGACTAATGAGTTGAAAAAATAATATTAATTCTAGACACACTGTTTAAATCTTCTCCATTTAATTTGCTGCCCTAAAATATTCCTTTTTTAAATGTACCAGATATAGACCACATACATCCTAGGTCTTGGATTAAGATTATCCCTCAAACTCGGTTTGGCTCATTTGAGCTCGAGTTCACTTAAAACTCGTCATAATTCAAAAATAGATTTTTTTTTTTTTTTTATTATGACATGTTATAGTGATCAGGTTGTTAATATTGATACCCGAATCGCACTCTAGTCGTTTATTGCCAAGCTCAACTCAGCTTGATAACGGCTCGACTCAATTACAATCGTCATATCAGTATGTTTATTCAAAAAGTAGGGCTGATTTAAGATCTCATGAAAGTTGTGCCAAATTTTACACAATATGAATGCTTTGACCTAGCTAATTATAGGTGTAAGGATAGTCTGCCATAAAGTATCGTTGGGAAAGTGAGTGTTAAACCATCACACAAATCAATCTTTTCGGTTATTTTGTACACTGGAATGCATGTAATTAAGAACAAGAGGTTATTGAGTTAAATAGGTCTAACATTAGACAATTATATTTTTTCAATAATATTTATATATGTTTATACGAATTGAAAGCCGTTCGCGAGCGCTCGAATCAATGCTCGACTCGAGTCAGTTCACACTTCGAGCACGAATCGTTTAATTGAACAAACTAGTCGAACCTCAAGCGTCATTGAAGAGGCTCGTAAGTTCGACGAGCCGCTCGACCTTTTATTTACATAAATACCCCATATAATTTAATTATCAAATATTAGAACGACCAAAACTATCTATTTAGATTAAAAATAGTACCTCTATATTTAAAATTTAATTTATTAAAATTTCGAGCGGAACTCGAGTCATGTCGAGTATTGAGTCGATCTCGAACATCATTTTACATGGCTCGTCGAGCTCGAACTCGAGCAGTGAAGAAAAAAGAAGCTTGATCTGCACTCGACAAAGGCCATGCTCGACTCGACTCGTTTACACTTCACAGCCCTAACTACAGTCGGTTGAAAGGCATAAAACAACTGTCAATGCCTGACCATGGGGCAACATTTTCATGTACTGTAGCTCAAAATCATTCAGCAGAAGAACTGATACACTCCTTCATTTTTCTGTTCAGCAGACCAATCAAAAACTAATTCATCGCTTGTTCCCTTCGCCTTGGAAAGAATAAGATACATCGAGCTTCACATAAAATCGTAACAACAGTAAAAAAAATTCAACAGCCAAGCATAAAACATACCGCCAAACACAAAGACACGCACATTCCAAAAGCTTAACCGCATTCAGATAACCAGTCGAACAAACAAGAAATACACACGAGCCATCTTATCTATTGGTAGAGAGTTCCAATAATTATTTTTACAAACAATTAATACATAAATTCTTCCTTTTCGTTCATTCCTTTTGAGAGTAGATACGCATAAGGAACGCGACCCCAAGTATCAAAAGCGGCAGCACAAAGAGCAGAATCTTGGATGAGTCCCCACCCGAGCTCTGATTCTCCCGGACTGCACCCGCGGTAGTAGTGCCAGCGACATTGAAGTTCTGTTTGATGACTGGGAGAGTAGACTCATCAATATGGCCGATAAGGAAATTCTTCATTTGCATTTGTGCATCATCACTGTGCCCCACGTCTTCAAATTCGAAAGTCGCATCCTTCCCTGCCAAAAAAAAAAAATCGACTCACTTGGTACTTATTTTTTGGAATTTGCAGTAGAATTGGATCTTCTCGAGTTGGATGATGAGATTTTACCTGTTGCCGTTAAAAGCACATCGTCTCCTCCCGGGTGCTCTTCAAGAAATGATGTCACGTCATAGACCTGATGTAATGCTTAGAAAATGTAACTAGAATACACACAACCTTAAAGAATGTGAGTGTCGATTTTGTCGAAAGCACACATTATTTAGGCGAAAATTGGTTCTTCTCTCAATCTTTATGTGTGAAAATTGAAGTGTCAACAAGGACCACAAATTGTCTAATTTTCCATTAAGTTCCACTATTCATCGTTCATTAGATGTTACATATTTTTTCGTTCCGCCACATCATCTTATTCGTTTTTTTTTTTTTTTTCTTTCCCATGCATATGCCAACATTTGTTTTGATCGTTCCAAACATTTCGCAACTGGGTTCATTGGGTTGAAAAAAACAAACATATCCATAATTACACATAGCTCGATTTGATATGCATTATGCAACTTAAAAATAAGCAAACTTACAATAGCTGTAAAGATGGAGAAAAATAAAAAAATGAATGATCTAAAAGGGTAAAAAAAATAAAAAACGAACTCAGGGAGGTGACGAGCAAGTGATGACGATTTTTAAGTATTGAAACATGCAATCACACTCAAATACACAAAATCACAGCGAAAAATAACCAAATTGTAGAATTTACAGAACACAGCCATATGTTGTACTCGAGGTAAATCTGAGGTAGCTTCATCAATCCTCTTCAAATATTAATTCTCTCGAACAATACGCATTGTAAAATCGCAAAGGCTAAAATCCTTTGGTGAGCAGAGTATTTTAAACTTTATGGCACAGTTTGCATTATCTAAACTTGTTCAAAAGGCCACCAATTTATGCAAAAAGTATTACACAATCCACAACAAAAATTCTAGTGGTTAAGGATAAAATCTCTCTTACACCACATTTGTAATAGAATTAATAAAATACCAAACAGGCTAAGGAAAAAAAAAATGGACACACAATCCAAATCCATCATAGTTCAAAAAACAGTGAATCCCACAGCAGATCTTTGATCTATTCAAGAGTTAACTAGCTACATTAAGTTACCTGAAGAAACACACAATAAATTTGTTGTTCACAGTTAAAATTCAGAAATTAAGCTAAAATAAATGAAAAACTCAATTTTTATTATAACCGGGGGAAGAGATTGTGGTCCCACAAAGTAAAGCCTAGGTGCACCTTAGTAGGGTTCCATCCAAAAAGAGTAACTCACTAGGCTTATATACTAAACTCATTTTCCCTATAGAATCATAGCGGGACAACTCACAAGTGATGTACAAGTGATGTTCCAACAATTTTCAACCACATTTTCACTTATAATTAACAGCTTTAATAACAGAAACACAAAATAATGTCTCTTCTCTGCAGTTAAAATGCTGAAATTAAGTAAAAAAAACAATGGAAAACTGCAATTTTCAGCCACATTTTGAACTTCAAATGAACAGCTTCAATCAAAACCCACTCATCTCAGCATTTATTACAGATTCAATCTCGTCAAACTTCAACGAGCACAAACAATTGAGATCTATTATTATATAAAGAGGCAACCTAAATAATTCAAAAATAGTAACTAAAAAATCATCTAAATTCCCGCCTAAATATATTACTAAACATAGTAAATTATTTTGGAATTTTCCAAAAATTCCGCCCAAACAAATTTGAAATTTTTGTGTGAAAATTTTAAATCTAAGGATTTTTAAAAAAGATTCATCTTTATCTTAACTTTCTTATCTTTAGCTAACTTCCTTAACTCTCTCATCTTTATCAAAACTTAGAATAATAATATGTAGTGTAAACTAATATTTAAATATACGTATTAACCACAATTATATCATTTTAGAACAAAATGATTATGTTATTTTATAACGCTAATATAAATTTATGGAAAATTAAATATGTTAATATATGTACAATAAAAATTAAATATGTTAATATTTATACAAAAAATTAAATTTATGGAAAAACTGATAAATAATGTAATATATTTAAATTGATAAATAATATATTATAAATATTATTTATCAATTTAAATATATTTTTACCAATAATGTAATACATTTTATATTTTTACTTATTATGTACATAGGTTGTTAAATATATGATAACTTTTTACCAAAAGAACTATTTTATGGAATCATATTATAACCAAATCGAATTTCTGAACAAAAATTTTGAAATGATACTTAGTTTGAAACGAATATAATGTGATTTATTATCATTATCTGCACCACACGGGTTGTGTACTAATTTTAAATAGACATTTTTATGTAATTTTGTACAATTTAAATTTTACATAACATTTTCAAGATAATTGTATTACATATTGATTCTATATTTTTAATTTATTAATATTACTTAATAAAAAAATTTAATTTATATATATTAGTTAATATCTCTTACCGTGCATAGCACGGGACTCATACTAGTTCAACCCAAGTCTGAACTTTTTTTTTTTTTTTC